AAAATAGCTGAGGTGGTGTGGACCTGAACTCAAGGGGAAGACCGAATCTAATTACATTCTTAACCCAATTATCCGCAACAGTAGACTCCCACTTGGGGGCAAAAAGGGCCAAACGCCCACCAATCGCAGACGACTGGGGAAGGTTAACGAGATCTGCGAAATGGTCTACTACGTCCCCCCCGCTGGTTCTTCCTGGAGGGAAATCGGGGCCCTTGTCTGACCTGATGATCCTGGGAAGAAGCTCCTCTGGCCTGGAAGGAACGGTGATAGTGCTGTTGAAAGGCTGGTGATTCTGAGGCACGAAAGGAAGAGGGGCGAAAGGAACCAGACTGGCGGTATTCCGACCTACGAGACATGGATGGCAAGATCTTGCGGTGGTCGTGGGTTTCAATAAGCAGTGGATCCAGCGAAGCTCCAAATAGGTTGGCTCCTGCGTAAGGGGAAGAAGCAAGGCGCCACTTGTGGCGGATGTCAGCTTGCCAATTCTTCAACCAGAGCAATCTCCGTGATGTGACCGTAGAACCAATGGCCTTGGCCGAAAACTGAGCTGCGTTCAAGGTGGCGTCGGCCGAAAATTCCACCGCCGCTAGAATTTTTGTTAAATCTTGGTGCGAACGAACATCCAATGCCGGAATGCGTTTTTGTAATTGTTTTATCCAGAGGATCGAGGCTCTATTGAAGAACGAGGCCGCCGAGGAGGCCTGGGTAGACCATGCTGATGATTGATGAGCTTTGATTAGGGACCTTTCGGCTTTCCGATCCTCAGGTCGTAACGACTCCTCGGAAGGACCCGACATAGGGGTTGGAGAAGAGAGAGCCACTATAGGGGCGTCTACTTTAGGTACTTGTAAGAGATCGGCATATTCCGTCGCTAAGTGGTAAAACCGTCGGTCCAAGGAGTTGGGCACAGGCCCTGAGCTTGGGAACTTCCACTGTCTCTGTAAGACATCCGAGAATAACTTGGGTGCAGGAATAGTCTCGGTCATAACCGCCGGCTCCTCAAACAAGGCTGCAGTTGGGTCAGATGTAGAAGCCTGATCTGAAGACTTTGACCCAGGAATGCCCAAGTGGGTGGTAGTTTGGGCCTTAAACAAGAGAGACCAGAACAACTGAGGCCGAAAAAGGCCCACAAATGAGGGTTGGTCAGGCTGCAACCCCTCATCTTCCGACAAATCCTGATCAATCAGAATTTCACCTTCTTCTTCTTCAGCCGAAATGGAACCCTGACTGACCCTGGAAGGAGAAATAGCTCGATCTTGATGTTGATGAGAGGCCCCAATGGGATCCGAACGAAGCGAGAGGGCCTGGTCATCCAGATATTCAGAAACCTGAGAAGAGGCCCTCTCCTGCAAGCCTCGGGCAATGCCTTGCCTTATGGACTGTGCTATTAAATTAGCTAAATCTGGAGAAATAGCTTGGCCCTGATTAACGATGGCTGAGGGCAGAGGAGCAGTCTGACCTTGGTTCAGGGGTGCAGTGATTTGAGGGGTCTGTCTTGGCTCGGGAACCCCAACAATAGCATCTTGAACCCCTTGAAATACTGCTGCAGCGTCAGATAGTGTCTTTACCTATGAGTAAAAAGACACTATCCTCGAGAGCTGAATGGTCAGGAGAGAGTGAAGGAGCTTCCGGAGGGATAGAGGCCTGGCCCGCTGGGCGGCTTTCCTTAGAAGTAGAAGCAGAGGCCTGGGTTTTCCCTCGAACAGAGGATGAAGCAGAGGCCTTATTAAATGCTCTCTCCATGGCCTTATGACGACGCTCCTCGTCCCTAGTGTGTCTGGAAGTTGACGAGGAGCGAATCCCTGATGGTCTAGGGTCCTCCAGGCTCTTGGCTCTCTTGGAATTCTGGGTGCCAGAACAACCCTCCTCAGGATCGGGCTCTCGGGCTCTTTTATCCCTGCTCTTCTTAGAGCGGGAATTAACAGTTAAATTGGCGTCCGCCATTTTAAAATGCTCCTGAAGGGCGGTAAAACTCAAACTGAGGGAAAGTTATTAGAACTCAATGCGCTGCCCGATGCAGCCCCTCGCTGGCCAATCCGAGAGTGTAGGGTGCTCAGCGCTTTCCGATCGAGAGGGAAGCTTTGCGGTCGCGAAGGCCAAATTCCTTTTGGCGCGCTGAAAGCGGCGCGGAATGGCTGACGCGTCTCCCGGCTGCAGGGCAGGGCCCGAGTTGCAGCCTCAGCCTAATATCGGCGAAATTGCTGTAGCGCGGAAGAGCAGGCTCGTGTGCGCCGAGGGCTCAGCCAGCCGGCTGCCCCACCATCTAGCGGTCTTCAGCGGATTCCGATGTAGTTCACGCTGGAATTTTTGCTGGTAGAGCCGGGTCTGAGAGGAGAAAGTTGAAGACACGCCTGTCCTACTCCACCGAGTCGAAAAAACTGACTCCTGGAGCAGGGAGGCGGGGCTTCGTTCCCTCTGCAGACTCGGTCCTAAACAGCTCACACCCGTGTCGCCTCCCATCCATCCTGACTGCCATGACCACCCTGACAGGAGAACAGAAACATTCTTAAAGATCCAGAAACATTAAACAAGTAAACATCATTCAATTTTAAGATGTAAAGAAAAAATATCACATAATGATGTATCCTAACTGAAAATATATTGCTAATGGTTTTAAAATTAAAAGGAAAGGTATTAATTTATACTCCATCATAAAAAGTATATTATGTGAAAATTATTTAATCATTTTGAAGTTAATTATCAGTTTTGATTTGATTTCACCTCTAGTACAATCCTTTCAAAAATAATATGTGAATATAAAACACACTATGGAAAATAGTGATGATACAGAACAATGCTATTGCTTTTATAGCAAAGGACAGATGGATGAGGTAGAAAAATAATTTTCTAAGCACACATTTTAAATTTGGATGAGGTTATAAAAGGCTTGAAGCAAAAATATACACAATAGTCATGCTCAATATCACAATGCAGTCCTGAATAATAAATGTTATGTCAAAACATTTAAATGATATTTCCAATCAAATTCTTTTAGGTTGGCTTTGTCAGGGTCATAAAATAGTAGGACTGAAACATAAATGTTTTTACCATGAATGCTATTACAAACAGAAATAATTATTAATGTTATTATAAGCACAAGGTATAATAATTTCATTACATTAAGACTTTCAAGGATATATGGACAGCAAATATAAATTATTTAGCACTGCTATTATTAATTGATGATTTATGTGCCATCAACATCAATATTCAGGAACATATTGAACCTTGGGGTCAGCATTGTGTTTTGGCTCCAAGCTACAATGTTCAACCATAGTCCAGGGACTATATTTGTGACTGTACATTGTAGCCTGCATATTGCAGGACAATCTTACATCTGGATAATCTCTGCAACAATATGTCTTGTTAGTAGGTTACTAAGCACCCAACAGTTTATGAGGGCAATGACTGATGCACTACAGTGCCATCAGAATGCAGCCAAGGGTTTATTTATTTATGCATTATAGCTGTAGCTTTCTGAGTGATTAACAATTAACAATAAACACAAGAAAAGAAAGAAAAGGTTCAATTCATGTTAAAATGTATATCCAATAAAATATAAAATAAAGACACCAAACAAAGTAGGTAGCAGGAAGTCATTAAAATCTAAATTGATATGAATTTAATTATAAATTAAATTATAATAATTATAAATTTTAATTATAAATAATTATAAATTTTAATTATAAATAATTATAAATAATTAATTATACTAAAATAAAATTAAAAAGCATAAAAGCATTCTGGGAATGCCTGATCTGCTATCCTGCTTAAATTTTAAATGAAAGTGATGTGTATATGTGTATATGAGGATATTCAGTTTAGGATGAGAAGTAGTACAATAAGGACTGAAGCTATTGATGCTACTAAGTGCATACTTTATGTTGAGTAATATCAGCAAAAAGAAGGAAATTATTTTTCAAGAAAGAAAATGTGAGCTCTGCTTTGCATATGATTTGTATACAATACATAGCCAAGCTTAAATAACTAGTCAGATAGTGGAAGATTTACACTTCCTTATTTAGGCTTCAAGTTTCAAACACATACTAAAAAAGGCAGTTTTGATTTGCAAAATGACTTTAACCTTTATTAACATCAATGATTCTCACCAGCTATAACTTCATATACAAGTTTCCAATTATGAACTTAGTCATAATGCTACTATTTATATCTCTATAAAATTAGTTCATTGCAATATAAACATTAGTGCTAGTAGCATTAACAGCAGCATTCAGCAGCATCACAGATATTAAAAATTATCTGTGGTTTGTATTTCTGTGTATATTAATCAATTGGATAATTTGGACTATTCACCTATACCTAATTGAATAGGCCAAGTTATCTAATTGGTTCCAAAATAAACATGAATGCCCATATTTAAAAAGTAAAAAGTAACCAAGTACATCTATTCAGTATACAATAATTCTCTATAAATATTTTTGAAAAATGTTACTGATATATTTTGATATAGATCATGTAAAAGCTTATCTTAAAGCAGGGGTCACCAACCTTTCAGACCTCAGGCACAACTAAATTCATAATTTTAAATCCTGGAGACCACTTTTTGATACGAACTTTTTAAAAAGATAAATAGTATTTAGTGCAATATAAAAAATGCAAATAATTTTTTTGCAGAACACCAAAATTTTCTCATGGACCATCAGTGGTCCACGGACCATCAGTTGGTGACCATTGTCTTAAAGGACTTTATCAAGCTGAAACTGTCTTAGTTATTCTTGGTCATGATATGAGAAGAAGGGGAAGGGCGGTATAGAAATTCAATAAATAATAATACTACTAATAATAATTATCTTGTAATGTGGTGAAATATTCCAGATGCTGCAAGATTTCACTGAGTTATTACAATCCACCCTAATTTGCATGAGTGATAGCTGGATGTTGATTCTTCAATTCTCTCAATGGTGATGCAGTGACTGATTTATGAGAAGCAGAATGAGAAGAGGTTTATAACACAAAATAATAGTAGTAATCACACTTACGGTCTCCATGGCAACGCAGAGCGCCCACAGTTAACTTGGCATCAGAGCCTGGCCGACCAATATCTCCAACCACCACTTGACTGATAGGTAAATGGTCCTTGTAAGATAAAAGACCAGCATCTTTTCTCCTATGTAATGAAAAGAAAGAAAAATCAAACATACTTAATAAGATGTTTAGGGAAGTCTGATTCAACCTTGAGTCAGTCAGGATTGAACTCCTGACAGTGAGCAGAGTCAGCCTGCAATACTGCATTCTAACCACTGTGTCACTAAAATATTACTTTATTGCTGCCTTTCGTCCTCTAGATCCACCATCAAGTATAAGCTTCCATTTTCTCACCTTATTCTTGGGGATTCAACCACGCTCAGGGATGTTGTTTTTTTTAGTAGCTGACAATCTTTTCCTTACAACAGCATTTTCACCTTTAAGAGGCATGGACTTCAACTCCCAGAATGGAGTTAAAATCCACACCTTTTATGTTGCTGAAATTTATTTATTTATATTTATTAGCCTCCTATCTTACCATAAGGTAACTCTGAGTGGCTTACAGACATAAAATATATATATCTACATTAAAACAAGACTACATTAAGACAAGAAGATTAAAATTAAGGACATGTGGAGAAGGAGGGGTGGTATGTGGGGAGGTGGGATCTGTTGTTACTTGATCAACCACCTCCACTGTGCTGCTCCCCCATTGGGGCCCAGGCTAACTGGCAGAGCCAGGTCTTTAGCCCTTACAAAGAGTTGGGGCCAATCTCATTTTGGGAGGCAAGATGTTCCAGAGGACAGGAGCAATACCTGAGAACACCCTCCTCCTGGACACTGCCAGCCAGAATAATTGGGTTGATGGACAGCATATCTCCTTTGCTGGCACAAATGGGAAGGGCCAATCCCACTAGGGTGAGACAATCCCTCAAGTAATCTGGACCCATGCCATGAAGGGCTTTAAAGGTGATCATCAACACCTTGAACTGCATCCGGAAACAGACCGGCAATTAATGAAGCTCGCAGAGCAGTGGTGCTATAAGGGCCATTCTTGGACCCCCCCCCCCAAAAAAAACTGCCCTTGCTGCTGTACTCTGCACTAGCTGTAGGTAGTCCCATGTAGAATGCATTATAACAGTCCAACTGTGAGATGACTAGGGAGAAGTATTGAGGAACAATTCCCTAGATACTTATTGTCAGTACAGCTACTAACAGATTGGTTCAATTACAGTTTTCGGGCTGAAAAATCAAATGAAATATATATGATAATGTCATGTCAAATTCAATCTGCCAAGAGCAGTGATCAGTCATTCCACTGTATAAGTTGTACTGGAGGCATTGCTGAAGAAAGGTCTATTTCATATGGAAGCCAGCAAACAATCATTTTATACATGTGGAGACTAGTTCTTTTACAACTTGGCCACTGGACAGGCAATTAATTGCTCCTCTCATGCTGAATTATATTTGGGTTTTACTGCTTGACTAGTATATGCTTATTTTGAGAGAGGGGATTTCTTGCACCATTTTTTATCATGCAGTATTTATCTTGGTTTGCTGGAGGATGGGGCAGGAAGAAGACAAAATGGAGAGCAGAGGGAAAGACAAAAATATGTAATGTGCAAGAGGATTTATCACAAAAAATGATTTAACATAATTTAGGCAACAGTAGAATTAGTAAGAAAATATATATTAATATATATTGGAATTTTTTCCAGTGATTGTGGACCCATTTTATTAATTGACAATAACAAAAAGTGTTATTGTTTCATTATTCATTATTGTAAGAATGTTTCATACCATTAACTGTTTGCTTGGTCACCAGTGAGCATCAGATTAATTTGATGAAAAGGAAAATGTATTTTAAAGGAAATGCAATTAAAGCAATTAAGAAAACAACTTTAATCTTTTAGAATATTATTTCTTAGGAATGGTTGCCTAACATCTATGATTAGGAAGGTAATTAGAAGCTTAATTAGTATGCTTTTCAAATAGCATTAAACTGTTGTCTGAAAACAAAGGATATAAGTACTGGACTGTTTTATTTTGAATTGGTTTTCATTTATTTATTTTTATTGTACTTTATTATTTATTCCAAGAATATCTGTGCTGCATTTCAGAACAAGTTTTCCCAAAGTGGTTTATAAACCACAAAACCCCCAAAGCAAATATAATACTACAAAGCCACATTAAAATTCCATAAAATCTAATAAGCAGATAAGTCACACAACACAACAAAACAATAAAATATAAGCCCAAATTAATCACAGAAAAATATACTATACAGTAATAATTAAATTCTCCTGAAATCAAAAATGTTCTGTTATTTATAACTACACACATATATATGCACACATATATGAAATGTACAAATTCATACAGGAGTATCTATAGGAATATCTCTTCTATTGCTTAAATATGAGTATATCCTCCAGAACTCTAAACATGATTTTCAAATATAAATATCAAATTATTTATATTTAGTATTTTTCTAAAAATATCTTTGAACCCAGAGATCATTTTTGAGAAGATATGCAAAGAGTAAAACATTAACTTCAGCATGGGAAAACAATTCACTATGACAAAAAACCTCAAAATTACTTCATCTTGTTTCTCTTTTGGATAAGATGGAGGTAAGGGCAGACTTTTAAGATTGTCTTAATTACAGTTTATGTCAACTACAGTTTATATCAACTACAGTTTATATCAACTACAGTTTATATTAACTAAAGTAGAATTCTAGCATTTCTTGTGGCATCTTATTTACTGAATTGCCTAAAGTCGTCTTAAAGGCTGACAGTGGGTGTGGACAATCACAAAGCATTCATAGATTAGAGAGCAAAGGAAGCACTGGACTCAATAGGATTCGGAGCAATCTTCTCATTTACTTGAGGCTGCTATTGGCTTGCCTTCATTTTAAAAATTAAATTAAAATCAATTAAAAGGAAATGAAATAGGTAAAACAGTTTTTTTGGTACTGGAATGACTTGGAGACCTTGGGTTAAAGTATCTGTTACAAATCAAGACAGTGAAAGAATAGTGAAATATGTGTCATGATTTCTTAAGACAAGCCTGGTTTTCATATGGGGTTTGTATTAGAATATGTTGATTCATATTTAATTAATTGTGCTCTTTGTAGAGGCCCATATTCAGATTCAAGGCTTTTTGATTGTTTATAATAAAATACAAATGTCCTACAAAACCTGGGGGTGGTATCAAGATTCGGGGAGGTTTTGAGGTGAAGACGTTTGACAGGTATTCCAAAAGAAAAAATGGCATAAGTGAATTTCAAGTGTTAGGAATGTAGAATGTATGATGACAAAGTTTTAAGATGGGACTTGTAATATGAATTCCTTGTAATATGAATTAGTTCCATGTAATATGAATTAGCTAACAAATTATTCTGGTAAATAATCTAACTTTTAATATTTTTAATTTGCTTTCTGAAATTATTTCATGATTAACTTTGTTTATCCGAAAACTTTATGAATTTGTGTGTCTCTAATGGCAGCTCTTTTTTTGAGAGAGAGAGAGAGAGAGAGCAGAATACTTCTTCATATTCTAATGTATTCATCGATCCAAAAATTTGATTTGAACTTCTGTTGCCTGTAATCCTAACAAGAATGTGATACTGATTTTAATGGTTTTCATTGATTGATTATGGATCAGTACAGTTTTCTGACCTCTCTAAATAAGTGTTTTACAAAATTAGCCCATTTTCTTATTTTTTTCCTGGAGAAAACATGAAGTTCTGAACATTAGTAATTTTCTGAGAGTCTGCAAATAATAAAAAGGGAAGATGAAACCAGATGGATAAAAATAAAATTTTGGAACTGCTTAGTAATCATGGCAAAATTAATTACAGCACTTATGCTTTTCATTTTTGTTTCTTCTGGCTAGTGAAATTGACCATTCATGATAGTGATAGATTTGATAATCCTGAAGGAGGTAATAGGGAAGCTGGGTTTTAATTTCTTTGGCTATGAAAAATTACTGCTTAGTTCATGGTTTCTAAGCAGGATCTCAGTCAGTTAAGGATATTTCAACTGTCAGTTCTATTGCTATGTACATTTTATATGACAGCAATAATTTATTTTGGTAAGGTTGACTTGGTAAACTCAGTGAATTATTTATGTACAACAAGGATGGGTGTAAGTAACCCTATTTTTTTCCTTGGCCTCCAATTAACTTTTGATATCATTACCTTCTGGACCATTGCTCAGAGTTTGACAAAATTTTATCTAGACTTAATCCTTCTGAAGAGATTGATCAGAAAGTGTTAGAAAGGGATTTTTATTGTATCCCTTGGCTGTTGTTTTGTAGCTTGAACATTTATTTAGTGGCATTTGATGCTGTTTTGGAGATCTTTATTCTACTGTAATTATCATTTGCATGTGTGTTGTATTGTATGATAGTTTTTAAAGATTCTGTGCCTTACATCTTAGGTCAAAAATGATCTATTTGCCTTTTCTAATTTTATTTTTGCTGACAATTGTAATTCATAGTAAGAAGGTGCTTGGCATTCCAAAATGTATTGCCAAGTACTTTTTTCACTAAATAAAAATATCAAACTAGAACAGGAATAATCAAAAGAATACAAAGTCTATTTTGTCACATTAGCTAATTTATAGGAGCCATCTTACTTTCTAAAATAACAAAAAACACTGAATATTTTTTATTGGAAAAATATTGATACAAGCAATGGGATTTTTAGTTGAGTCATCAATGCTCATCAGAATGCTTGGTACTTAAAGAATTAATATTCCACAAATGAAACTGAATTAATTACAGAACTTGTCCAGAATTCTGACTCCATTGTAGATATTTAGAAATAATCACAATTGAAGTGTTTAGTATTTGGAGAATAATACTATTATCTAAATACCTTAAAAGGTTTTTTTTTTAAAGGAAAATAATATTACTTGTCTTCTCTCTCCAAAAAAATTTCTCTAAGAGAAAAATGTTTATATTTTCAAAGTTATAGATTCTAATAATAAAAGAAAAGAATAAATATATAATTCTGTAATTGTAATAAACAGGATAATATAATATCTTTGAATACTTTTATTTTTTTTACTTCCCCTAAGTATAGAAATTTACAAAATTATAAAAGCATGCTAAAGATGTATTTATCATAAGGCA